CGCAGCCCTGACCGAGCGAGTGGGGGCGGCCGGGTCGAGGGCGTCGGAAGAACGGGCATCGGCCAAGAGCTCCAGCAGCCCTTGGCGTGCGTGGGTGTGAGTCACGAGTTGCACCAACATCATGAAAGAATAGAACAGGCAGGCGCAGGTCAGGGTGGGACAGAAAGGTGAGGGAGGCACAGGGATGACTGCTTGACTACGCCATTGCTGTTGGAGAACTACAAGGAGCTTAAGAGCTGGCTGGTCTTCATCATCCCTGGCCCTCAACATACACGGTGGGGGGGAAGGGACATAACTTGAAGGTGGGGAGGAAGGGACAAGCTTAAAACTTCTTTCTTTTCTCCAAGATGACCGCAGCAGCAGCAAGGGGAGCGGAGAGATACAGCAGGGTTTGGTTGAGCCAGATTTCTCCTCTGGACCCTCCCACACATGGAGAAGATGGGGAAGAAAAAGTTGTACAGATTGGATCAGTACCAGGTCCAGCACAGGGACATCTAGCAGCTAAACCAAGCCCTGGAGAATGGCCCCAGGCACCCTCATTATGTTTCTTATTAGAGACACAAAGGAACTCAATCAATGAGATCAGAACTGTCGTTCAGTCTGAGTGGCACTCGTTCAGTCTGAGTGGCACTCGCTAGCCTAAAGTTGCCAGTTGCTTGAGATACTGGAAAGGAAGAACCCCTCCAGCTCATTATATCCCAAGTGCCCCAGGAACGGAGGTGGGGAGAGAGAGAGAGCGAGCAGGAGTCCAGGGAACCCCGTTACACTAGAACAGGAAACCACGTAGTCTGGCTTTTTAAAAAGATTTTTCTTTTTTTCTGGCACCATTGCGAGAAAAAAAGTTAAAAGGTTTTTTTCGCACAAAATACCAGTCAAGATGGACATGCTTTAAGACAGGCTGCATCTGAAATGGAAAGGCTTCAGGTGTGACCAAAGAGAATCACTTACACATTTAAGAAATACGACTTCTGTGTGCAAAAAACCCCAAATTGCATGAAGTGCCCTCGTGCTATTTTTTGAGAGGTCAACATTTATGAACAAGAGAACTACTGGATGGCCTGGCTCCCTCAACAAGTCCTCATGATTCCAACGGATTGAATTGTTTTCTGATTCCTTCACTCCTAAACGAGACAAGAAAACCCATTACATATTCAAATCTCAGATACCTATTAAAGAGAAATTAAAAAGATGAATATTTTCACATGGCCCTTTAAATTCATGATATCTGCGAAGAAAGAAAGAAAGAGTGCATGCTCTATTTCCTTCTCCAGGTACTTTAAACACCTCCATTAGAGGCCATTGCTTAGATATGCCCAACTGCAGTCTTCAGTAGAGCAAAGTCAACAAAACCATTCATTCGCTGCAGTGTTCTCCAGATTGGAGTAGTAAAGCGTGGAAATAGTTTCTTTAAAAAAACCCAACAAAAACAAACAAATTCACCCTACTTCATGGGTTGATGTACAAGTGAAATGTTTCCATAAATATCTGGTATTTTTCCACATCCACAATTAACAAAAATTAGGGTGTAAAAATAATTTGAAAATGTCATGTATTAAACAGGCTGTTGAGTTTAGAAAACACCTTTTACACACACACACACACACACACAGCCTCAGTTTCACTGAGTAAAAGCCTGCAAAAAGATTCAGATATTGTTAAATAAAAATCACACGCTGACAGCTTCAGTTTCACTGAGTAAAAACCTGCAAAAACGTTTAGATATTGTTAAACTCACTATTTTTTAGGAAAGGAATAAAGTTAAAGTTCTTTCTCTCCAATGTTTTTTAGGAGGAAACGGGTAGCAGCTAGACAGAGTTCAACGTTCTGCAGAACTAACATTTAGGTGAACAGAAATACTGTTAAGAAGCGAAGAAGTTTCATATGAAGACACAGTAATGGGGGGGGGAGGGAAATGGATCACTTTTTTGAAACAGAACTTTCTATTTTTCAAAATTAAAAATATCCATGACCATAAAGTAATTTAAAGGCTCAGGTTGATGACAAAAGGGTAATTAACATTTGGTAAGGAAGATAAGCAGCGCTTTTTGGGTCTCCTGTAACGCGAAGACAGCTTGTAAACGCAAGCTAAAAGGAGTACTATTCAGGATGCTTCAAAGTTAGCTTCTAAAATGGGTATTTCAGTAGAAAGTATTTTTAGTGGACTGATCTGTCAAAGGATCCATTCTAATAAAAATAGTTTAAAACTTTCAATAGGTATCAGTTCCTTGTGCTTCAACAAAGGGAGGAGAAAGGAAATATTTTACTGATTTCTTACGTGGCCCATAATAAACTGGACTTTTTTAAATTTTAAAATAACTTATTTTAGAAGTCTTTTTTTAAAATGAAGCCGTTTGGAACTACGTATTTCTTAAGACAGGAATTTCTGTGGTATGTATGTGGCTGAAAGTCTACTGAATTTGTTGTACAACCTTTTAATCATGGTCCTGATTCAAGTCCACAACAGTTTTTTCCTCCATTTATTTAACTGAACTTTGCACAAGAATTTTATTATTTCCTCCTTAATCGGTCCAATGCACGCTTTTATTCTCTCAACAACTGGCATGTCTTTCATTGTCCATTCTATTCGCGGAACATTCCTATTATCAATCTTGCAAATATTTATACAGCTGGGCAGCTTTCAGATATATGAGTAGTCTCACATAATTCAGTGGAAATACATTCTGAAGAATCCTCTCAAACAACTAACACAGATAGGCATTTACTGGATTAAATCCTGGATGCAAATAGCCTGTTACATATTTCTGATTCTGTTCATTAGACAAAACTATTCTCTTTGATACGAAAGGCTTATGAAGAAACGAAGAGATTTCAAGAAGTCAAGATCTTTCAGGCTTTGGAGCAGTCCTTGTAAAGTCTAGCCCGACCATTACTGGAAGGGCTTTGTGGGGGGAAAAAAATTATTCATTCTCCCGTGATCATGGTTGAGCATATGCTACACTGAAATAACTCATCCTCATATATGCCTGCAGTGTTAAGAATACACAGAAGTGTTCTCCAAAGCTTTAACATTGTAGAAACCTATGGAGTAGCCACCTTTGCAGAAAGTCCTGACTCTTAGGTCAAATAGTACTGAAACGAAAGTTACGCTGTCCACATATCTAGGCCAAATATTCTAACCAGCGTAAAAATAAATGTTTACTAGATTTGGAGATCAAACTAGCTACTACAGTCTTATTTTCAATTTAATACATAGCTATAGAGAGTATACTATAAATGTAAAATAAGGTCAGTGAAATCACGCTAGAAAATAAAAGATGTTCTCATTGAGCGCCTCGATAATTTTAATGTTCGCTTCCACATGCATGTGGAAGTGGCATCTTTTTGATCAGACCCTTGCAAAGGTGAAGGTAGCACTTACATAACTATTCTAATTGCAATGAGCATGGTCATTCATAAGTGAGAGTAAACACAGGCTTTATAAACACAGTTTAAGGTGTTGGGTTTATCAGATCTGTATTTATCAGAGCTCACGATATATGGAAGAGACGCTAAGATTTCCTGAGGGCACTTTCAGAAAGACTGGTGGAAAAATACCAAATTAAAAATACTAATTGGTGATTAGGAAAAAAGAAAAAAGATGGTGCACTACATTATTCTGCAATACAGAATAATTTACAGAATAATTTAACCTCATAATTTACAGAATAATTTAACCTCATACTTACTATGACGTACTTCCTAGTTCCTGCTGTATGTAACTATGTTGGTCCAAACGTTCAACATACATTATAGGATGAGCACACAGCTTTACTTCCATCTATAAATGCACTTCAATGCCTTGGTTCCTGCTAGAAGTAGAAAGCATCTATATCTGTTAAGAAATCCTTTTCCCTACTTTTTTTTTATATTTATTAGCAGATTTAACAGTCATCTCAGTGTTTATTAGAACAATTAATAGACTAATGGTGTTATTTACACACCAAGAGATTAGACAGAGAATATGCTTCAAAACTTGAACTGAGCATGGTTAGGTAACTGAAACTTCTTGAAGAAGCTAGCTTTTCAAATCATTTAATATGAGTAACGAGTATTTTTATATATAAACAAGTTAGTTGGTAGAGGGAAGAGACAACAATACATACACTTTAAGTTACAATCTTAGCAGAGCACAAAATAAAACCAGCCATCCGTGGAGGTTCTCAAGACCAAACTCGATAAAGCTCTCAACAACCCGGCCTGATCTCGTAGCTGATCTTGCTTTGAGCAGGAGATTGGACTAGAGACCTCCCGAGGTCCCTTCCAACCTGAATTATTCTATGATTCTATGGAAGATGCTGTTACACGTTGTAAAGTATTTCAGGTGACCGCGTCTACAGTTTTCACATCAATCTGTTGATACAGTTAAATATAATTGCTTTTGTTCAAACAGATGCTTATACTACTTCTATTACTGTTGTTTGCATGCAGTCCTAGTATTAATCAGTTCAAATTTACTGGAAGTAATTTTTGGAAAGATTTCTAGACATGATGAGCTCTTGTAAATACCACTAAAATCCATAGAAAAGGTGAGTGCTCAACACCTTTAAAATCAGACCTTTACTACCTCATGCTTCTGAAGAACCATTTCATTCTCTTTACTCAGTATATCGGCACAGCTGATAAAAGCTATCCAGACGTGGAAGTTAAAATTCACCCTGGCAATGCAAACAAACCTCCCTCCCCCCCCCCCCCCCCCCCGAAATATCCAGAGAAAACTCTCTCTAATCAAAGAAAGACAACAAAGAATTGAAAAATGTGAAGTAATAAATCACAAAGGGTAAATTCTTAACGCAGGTTACATGTGTACATTATAGGATGTTTTCGTTTCTATTAGACTCTTGACTCAGTCTGAGGCAGATGATCTGGCAAAACTGCATCCCAAAGCAGAGGGAATTTGACAAAAGTTACAGACACAGAATAGGGTCTTGCAGTAGGAGGCATAAGAGTGGCCTTCAAGAGCTGTTGAGAGTATTACTGGGATGAATGCATGTCCAGAGGCTTCTCAATTACTTACCACGAGCCTCTTAAGAAAGTACCATTTCCCACAGAAGCAGCTTACCTGCAGGAAGCACTACTATTCCGCTTACAGCATTTCCAACAGGTGAAGAACTAATGGTTAGAGGGCACTCTGCTAAAGCAAGAAGGAAAAAACCCCAAAAACTCCACCTGCCTATTCGACAAAGCTTTTCAAACCATGCTTATCCACAGCATCGGAGAGGTAATTTATACAAAAGGTTTAGTACCAGTTTCAATCACACAGTGGGTGCCTGTGTTCTACAGACACAACCAGGACAGCTGCGGGTAAATCCTGCTTCCTTCGCCAAAAGTCCTGTTCTGTGGAAGCCTGCATTACTGAAGCCGAAAAGGAAAATATCTGGTTTACAGAAGTGTTTTAATCGGCAAACACAGAACTTCACAGGTGGCCGCTTCCGTAAGACTGTTTTTCTGGAGCAGAACAGTGAACAGGCAGGTACATGCAAGACAATTAGAGGACATCAGATCCAGTGAGTAATTGCTCCTTTAGTTTAACCAGGAATAGGCCACTTCACTGCTAGGCACCTGAAAAAGCTTCACATACTTCACTAGTGCTATGCTAATTTTTACTAGCTGATGACCTGGCTCCAGGCAAAGAACCAAGTGCTACTATTTGGCATTGGTGCCTAAAGGTGAAGGGCTGATGAAGTAACCACCACTATTATGGAGAAACAATATAATTTATTAAACTGTTGTGTGGTTTTGCTTTAGCATTTTGCAACATCCAACAGGTTACAGTACAGCATTTGCTCCTTTTCAGAACGGAATCACATTTTTACTACATCCACTTTTCAGGCACCCTAATTAGAGACAGCACATAAGCCCTTACAGGATTTCAATACAACGGACACCCTAAAAACAAGCATTAAAAAAAGTGCACTGTGCATAAACATAACAGCAGACACTGAACAGAAGTCCAGTGGGTGGGGGCAATTTGGCTCTTCTCAAGTTGTCGTGAACTCCTCTTCCAAAACTCCATTTTAAGGCACTGGTTTCTCCTGTTAAAAAAAATCATCTTGCCCAAACCCACTGAATAAGCCTTTCACTCTGATAAAGCTATGAAGAAACCTTTAAGTTGGACCTCAACTCGTCACCCACTAACCACACATTTTAAATTTCTCCGTTCAGGCTTCACCCGTGATTGAACCATACTCTAACAGTTCTGTTCAATGTCCATGGATACGGTTAATTTTGCTGCCTCTCTCTACGGGGAGTTTGGAACTGGCCGTGCATTCAGCAAGCTGGAAGTTCGCTCACGCTGGAAGTTCACTCACAGAAAACCTCAAATGCTCATCTTGCAGCCTGTTTACATCCTCCCCCTTTCTGCCTCTCCTTCTGCCTCAAGTAAAGGCAAGTTTTCAAGGAGGGAGACAAAGCCGACAGGCAGATTGCTAGGAGAGGGTTGTTTTGTATGGAGTAAGAAAACCTGAGGTGTAGCTTAAGGCTACAAAGGAGACAAACATAATAAAGGTGATGTTGGTGAAACTATGAAAATATGCTACAAGTTGGGGAGAGTGGCCAGAAAGAGGACGAAGGAAGACGGAGGGCAGTACCTGAGGCTTGTCCTAAGGAGGGCAGTGTGGACACATCCAGCTGTTCAACTTGGTGCCCTCCACCGGTTCACTCAGCCGACCTCGACGTTGCTGTGGTTTCAAGTATTGGCATAACTCAGTATGTGGATTGGTTTCCACTGCAGTTGCACATACATGACTTGCTATGGGCTAACCACAGTCGCAGGAAGTGGAGCAGGTCAAGTCATTTACAAGCCTTGCTCAGGTCTAGCACATACAATATACGCTTGACATTTATTCAGTGAATTTAGATTCTAGGCATGTTTGAAGTTTGGAAAGGTTTCAGTGAAGAATTACGGGAATAAATCTAGATCTGGAAATGTACTTATATTTGACCTGCTCAATCTCTTAAGTTTACTGAAAGGCAATTTGGCTTAGCCTCCAGAAATCTACACGAGACAGAAAATCCTATAAAGGAAGAATCAGGAACCTGGACATAAAAAGGCATAAAAAGATTAAATTGTTGGTAGTTAAATTAAGATAGAAATATAAGCCAATTATTTATAACTGGCAATGAAGAATGGGACCAGCTTGCTAAAAGCAGCAAGCCAAAAGACCAGGAAGTGCTCAGTATGTAATTATGTCAAAAAAAGAGGGGAGGGAAGGGTGGAGGTTAGGAAAGACCATTTACTTAAAATTATGCCTTTGCTTTTACCTAGACGACCCTAATAGTCTCTCTGAAGTATTCAGCCAGTATGCAGACGTACTACTGATGATCTTAAAAAAAACTCAGAGTAGAGAAAGTTCCACAGCACTGGAAAAATAGAAAAGAAAAAAAAAAAAGCCCTAAATTAATGGGAGGGAGGGGGGAGGGGAGAAGAGCCTGCACACAGGGCAGATACTGAGCAGTCAGTCTAATTTCAATTCCTGGAAAAATACACTGGAACAAATGAACTATTTTTAGAAGATAATAAGTTGATAAGTAACAGCCACATAGACCCGTTAGGAGCAGATCCTGTCAAACTAATCGTTACTACTATGCCAGTGTAACAGTCCTCCTGGATAGGGGAAAGGTAGATATCGGTTACCTTGAGCAAAAATTTGACATTCCTTACACGTAAGTTGCACAAGCAAGCTCAGCAAACTTTGTCTGGACAAGGTAACAGACATCTGGGGGACTAGTTTTAAAAAGACGCATGCTCAAAGTAATTGGTAACTCCACTACAGAAGGTGGTATCAAATCAGATTCTGTAAGCACAGGCATTATTCTATCACATAGGTATACAGTTTATACAGTTAGAAATACTTACAAATATAATTTAAAATTGCACATGGGAGGGGACCTAACTACTTCAGAGGACGGGAATGGAATTCAGAGTAACGTGGACAAGTTGAAGAAATGGTCCAAAATAATTGGGAGATAAATCTAGATTAATATTTGTCTTTATTAAGGAATAGTTGACTGCACAAACAAAGGAGAACAAGGGGCTAACCAGCAGTCCTGTAGAAAAGGACCTGAGATTACAGCAGATCACAAACGGAACATGAGTCAACACTGTCGCGCTCTTGTGAAAAAAGCAAACATACTAAGATGTATAAACAGAAGTGCTGTATGTAAGATACGGGAAGTAAACCTTCCCTTCTGCCGATTAAAGCCTCTGCTTGGATACTTCGTCCAGGTTAGGAACAATGCTTCAAGATGTGAAATGGAGACAACACAGAAGGAAAAAAAAAAACCTCAGCGATTAAAATCAATCTGTGAAGCGTGGCTGACGATACTAAGCTTAAAAGAGCAGTCTTCTGACTGAGGGGAGAGACACGATAGCCATTTTAAAAGGGTCGTAGCAGAGACGGGACAAGGAGACACAACGTTTTCCATGTGCAGGGCAGACTAAGTTAGAAATCGGGCTTAAATTGAACTAATACACTAGACGTTCAGGGAAAACAGCGAAGGGCGAACGAAGACATTGGAACAGATTCTGCGGGGAGATGGTGGAATCCCAGTCGTTACCTAACTTCTTATAAGCAACTACATACCTATCAGAAATGGTTCAAGTATAATTAATACTTTTTAATCTATTGATTGAGTAATATCTGAAAGTTTTATCAAGCCAAAACTTCCAGTTTTACATTACTTGGATTTAATTTTGAGTGAATTTCTCATATCATAGTTCCATCACATGTTTTTTAGCTAGAGAAGGGCATCTCCCCAGGACTTTAATGGGTTTATATCAGCCGAAGGTCATTCTTATTAGTCATGCTAA